TATTATTATTCTTTTGCCCGATTAGGTTATAGCAGTATTCATAATGACCGGTAAATTTCATAAATTAATCAATATTTATCACACTGTGCTCCCTTTTTGGTCATTATTCATAATGCCTGATTAATCACTTTGTCCATAACATATATATTCTTAGATCCGAATATAGAAATATCTGTTTCTCTTAGATTGATATTTAATCAAGTAAATTGAAATATTTATTAATTTCCTTTTTGTTAATGTAATGCACTAAATTTTATTTAGCGTGAGGTTTGTATATAAAATTTATAAAATACAAACATTTATTCGATTTAGGCCAGTGGTTCTCAACTGGGGGTACATGTACCCCTAGGGGTATGAGCGTAAATCAAAGGGGTACATCTAACTTTCATTATAAAATGGCGTATGTTAATCAATTCGCTGTAAATTATTAACACAAGAAACGACAAAAACTTGCTTTAAAATATTCAAGTGTGAACACCGATTTTTTTTTTAACAGTCTAAACAACTTGTTTATCCACTTGATTTGCCTGCCTATTTGTGTCATTAGTGCCGAGTGAACCTGTAGTCTAGTAAAATTTTAACCGAGTATTAATTGTAGAAAAAAATTTTTTTCTTTATTCTATAATTATTGCTCGACAAGATTGGGGATTTTCATGTTTTTACTAAACAACTGGTATTAGGAATAATGAGGCCTGGATCGTACCCCCATCATGCAATGCATGTCACTGCATGTGCGCATTACTTGATATTTAGCAAATTTAGACATTACATTTGTTACAAAAATTGAAAGATTTATGTGTTATTCTGCACATTATAAATTTGCAGCCATTACTTTCAAGGTCAGTACACAATTATAATCTCTATTTAACAACGCAGGAACCAAATTTTCAAAAAAAATTGCAGAAGATTTATCGCAACAAATATCCCATTAAATTTTGTTTGAAATTATTGTAGAATAATTTAAATTTTTTTTATTGTTAATTATTATTATTTATTTTTATAAAATGTAATTTATGCATGTATTGAAATGACTTCTGTGATTTTATATAATATACTTGTCAAATAATAATAAATAAATATATGTATCTGATTAAATTGATTATTATTTACGTAGAATAACTAATTCACTTTTAGTTACAGTTAGTTAGATAGAGTTTTTTTTTTCATGCTCAGGTATAAGTGCTGTATACATCTAACGCAATAATTATAAAATTTACATACAAAAATATGTGATACTTGAGAAACAACTAATGGGCTAATGGGGTACATCAACAAAAAAGGTTGAGAACCACTGATTTAGGCTTTGTATAGAAATTATATTAAAATTAAAACCTTATAAAAGACTTGTACAAAAATGAATGTACTTTACTCGAAACGTTTCTAATATACTTCAAAATACTTCAAATCAATTATATGTTTTAAAGTATTTAACACGAGTATTACCATATAATTAAAATTATAAGATATATTTCTTAATACAGACATATGGTGAATCCTCGTTAATTTGAACTCGGATAGTTGAAAATTCTATTAGTATTAAAAGTAGAAATTAATAATTTTGAAACTTTTTAAAAGCATAAATGATAGAGAAATTTTATATTGCATTAACAGAAAATTTCATTTCCAGTTATTACAAATAAACTTTCGGTTGTTTTCAAATATTATCATTTACAAAAATATTTAGAAACAATAGTTTTGTAACTTTCCTGTCTGTTAATTTGAAAAATAACTTTTGTATTATTAAGAAAAATAAAATTGTATTTTAGGCCATATTCAGAGTATTTCAGTTAAGAAATACTCTGAATTTCGTAACTGTACTTTTGTCCAAGCCGAAAGTTTAAATATTTACACGTGAAGGAATTCAGTTAATTCGAAATTCAGAGTGAAAGTGCTGTCCGAACTGTGATACGAGCACTTTAACCCCTCTGTTTCCAGTCCATAAACTGGCTGAATCGTTGTTTGTTCTCTACCCGGTCACCCTACCTCCTATTGTTCTGCTCCCATTTGTGGAATCGCTAATCCTATCGAAAGGCAAAAATGGTCCTCTCAGAAAGTTCTAGCAACGGATAGAAAAAAGAAATAGAGGAATCACCGAGATAAAATAGAATTACAGTAGAGCGTCATTTATCCGAAAGTCAATTATCCGAAACGTCAATTACAGTGTTGCCGTTCGTAGTACATTTGTACTTTTCTGGTACATTTTGCCCTTTCCAGTAAATTGAAAGTACATTTAGATTTTTAGTACATTTTCAGTACATTATAATATTTTAAGTACATTATACTTCACGCCTTAACGAAAGAATGAGAAAAAATTAGTTTAATAAAGTCTCACTAGTGTCACTGCTTGCTAATTTAAATTATCCAATCACAACATACAAATGGTGTGTGTCCGTCGACGTCAGCAACATAGATAGTTGCACGTGTAAACAATCTTGACTCAGTGGTCTTCTTTCACACGTTCAGTTGTCTGCACATTCTCATCAGGACCTTGACAAAATTTTTAATGCCACGTGGTCCAAACAATTCAACTCCGTCAAACAAAAATAATGGACAGGCAAGGAAATCAATGATTTTAAACATTTTTCGTCAATAATATCAAAATATCCGTTAAGTCAGAATCAAATTATTAAAGAAAATAGTTTTGAAATTGTACGAGTATAAATATTATAAATACTTTTATATTATTTTCTACCACTATAATTTAATTCTTAAATTATGAACTTCAATTTTAGTAATCGTAGTAAAAGAAATAAGGGTTAATGTTACGTATGGTTCCAAAATGGCCGCGCTTCCGACTGTTCCAAGGTCTATATAAGAAGATCAGGACACGCGTGATCTACTTCTTGAGCTGCCATTTTGGGGTTTTTTGAGTTGCATGTTTTAAGCAAACTTGTACGAGCAGTCAGTTTTATATGACATTAATTAAACTAAAATTGCATAAATCCTGTAATTTCCAGTCAAAAATATAATAATAATTTCGGATGATTATGCAACCCCAATTTTATGTAACGTTTTCATCAAATAGTTTAAAAGAAACAAGCATCCTTATCTTTTGCTGTCATGATTGAAATTAATTAAATAGGTACTAAAACTGATGCAATTACGTATATACCACTTCGTAAAGTGATGCAATAACATCAAAAAAATTTTAAAGTATAATAAAGAATAAAATAATATAATATAACAGATTTATAATTATTTTTTTAAAGCACGATTGTTTCCAGTTTGGTTAACCAAACTGTAATTAATGTTCAATGTTATAATTTAGTAATTTGTACGGCCGCTAATGGACAACCTAAATCATGTAATTAGATCCGTAATCGCATTCGAGTAAGCGTTTACAGAGTTCGTTATGTAAATTCTGTCCTGGACATGTCGGACTCTACCTACAATGTGAGCACTCGTTGTATGTAAAACTAGGATTAGGAAGTCGGCAAAATAATAAACGACTCCAGATTTTCGAGTCGGTATTTTTTAAAAAATTTGTTACAAAAAATTTGATAGTTAAAAAATTAAATTATGTATTAAAATATTGTTATTAACAAAAAATTTGTTTTATCAAATCGTGTTGGTTCGGCCGAACAAACGAACGACTATATAGCTACCTTTTTCGAACATGCGTTCGAATATCGAAATGTTCGAGTTGGGAGTAGTTCCAGTATCAATGTACCACGGTATTTTTAGTACTATTCAATTAATATTTTTTACTAAAGAAGTGAAATTTGTCTTGCATTAAAGTAACACAAGAATTAAATAATAGTGAATTAGGAACTGATACAAATTTCGGTTACATCTTTTATCAAAAACTACAGAACGGAAAGACTCGATGAATGCAGACACTTTGTATCTTCTAAGAATTAAAAATTAAATACAATATTTTATTGACTTGTAAGATGTTGGCAACTAAACCTAATGCCAAACAGATGGTATTTAATAAGTTGTAACAGACTTAAAACCTTCCCAGAAAACTAAAAAATGTCGCCATTGACACTTGGAAGTTTCATTTCTACAACACGACATTTAGAGTTGTCAAATTATATACACAATTAAGTATGAAAACTTATACGAACTCGAACATGAAGAAACAATTTCTGCGTTTTGAATAATTGCCAACTGACACGCAAACACCCTGCTATATAAACTAAATATTAATAATATTATTCGTGCCTGTGTATTATGAACAAGGAAAACAAATAAATACAACCGAATCGTGTAATTTATTTCTTTGATACCATCAAATAAATAAATTGAAATTCGTAAATAGTAAATTGACGGTGACTTGTACGATTCAATTAGGTTATAAACTTTATAATCTTGATCTTATCCTTTAAAATCATATCTTGAACACCTGCTAGTATACATAAAACAATCATTATTTATAGCGACATCGCCACAATGCCGGATTGCAATTTTTATAAATACTTTTAATAACTTTTTAGTTTATAATATATGCTCTCCGCTGCCTCAAATTAGTAGCGTTTTGCCCCTGTACATTATACTTTTCTGTTAGCAATAGAGTCGTGCCGGTCATCTGTCTTATATATTATTTAAATGTGTGAAGCTGTTGTAACACAGAGTCACTGAGAATAATGTAAGGGCATACAAAGTAACACGCGATATAACTAGTTCAAGAAGCAATCAATTAACCGTTAGTTCAGTTACAGGAATGGTTCTTAAACTTTTCCATTAGAGACACCAGATGAAATTTTATAATGACCTTTCGCATCCTTATGAAAAACCAGTCACATATTCTTATTAGAAAAAGTGCTATTGTATTGGATGTTTGTTAGAGATTAAGGAAAAAAATTCAGTTTGTGCCAATTTAATAATATATAAAACAATAAATTCGCATTTTAGGTTAGAGGAAATTTCACAGAATTATGACTACAAATTTAATATTTATACATTTATTTTTTAAAATGACTTCAGTTTTCAATGACAAAAGTGAAGAAATAGTTTTAAAATTTTAACAAAGAAATTATTTTAAATTCCAAGTAAACATTTTCGGCACACGCTCTCAAGTAAAAAGCTACTAGGTTAAAGTTTAACTAAACAACGTTCTGTTTACCTATTATGAAATATAATTTTTGATATTTATTACTTATCGATATTCGCTTATTTATTTGTATTATATTATACACATAAATTAACTTTGAGGGAGAGTTACCAACTAGCCCAACATCAAATTTCCATTGAATTTTATTAGGCATTTATCATAAGAATTATGCATAAACATCAAACAAATAAATTATTGAATATGCAAATAGAAGTAAATTTAAAATATTAGAATATACAGAGTAAACCAAATATTAAATACAACAATAATAATAACAGCGGAGAAACATACAAGATGAAACTGGTCAAATTTCTACTGTTATGTTCTTTTCCTATTGTCTGGACCGAAAGTAAGTAAATTGCTGTAAAAATTTTTAAAAAATAATTTATTGATAATAGTTTTATTTAAACTGCTTTTTATTATTAAAAGTGTCAGGTAAATTATAAGTTGCAAATTTGTTGTCATTTAATTTAAGCTGTATATATGTCATTCAATATATAATATAATTTCGAAAAACAGTAACAATTACTCCTTTAGATAATATTATTTAATATATTTAGTGCAATCTCCAATATAGTTTATAGATAAATATACATACCTTGTCAAATTTTCTTATTAAAAAATTTAATAATTATATGGAGAGGATATAGACGTTAATCGATGGGGTCCTTGAGCACTAAAAAGCCTGGAAAAAAATTTATATTTGAATAAGGAAATAATTGTCATATTTTGTGTAAAGTATACAATATGAAGTTAAACATTTAGAGTAAATTGTAATGTTGAGCAGTTTCATATTTGTTTAATTGTTGTTGTATTTTGGATGATGTCGATTTGACATTCATTTGCTAAGGAAAAGATCTGTATAAAAGATATTTACTGTTTGGTGTTTTTCTTCGGTTATTTTAATCAGAAAACTGACTTCCGGTATTTAAAGAATTGTGAAAGAAAACAAATAACTTTATTAAAGACACTAATAGTAATTTTTCCTCTGTTTTATGAACTAATATGATTACATTATTCACCTTAAATATAAGATATAAGGTAAAGTTTTTCACGTATAACTTCTGAATTCTTCGTTTAATTTCGAACCTGTTTAAATCTTTGGATTCAGAATAAAAATCATTAAAATGTTCTGTCAAAAAATCGATTAATTATTTAAAATTTTTATTTTGACATTGCATGAAAAATAACATCGTTTTTGTTTTTTATTTTAGAATCTGTAGACACAAGACCTGTTTGGAAGATTGCAGCATCATACGTAAGTAATTTGTCGTGACGAATAATTTTATGCACTTTAAAAAGGATAAAGTTGGAGTTATTTAGATTATTTAAAAATTATGTTTTCTGTACGAGCAGGAAGTATTTTTATATCGTGTTTACTTACTTTCACTGAAAAGCCTATGATTATAAGTAATAAATCAAGAGGCTTGGGTATTGGGTACTATAGAGATTGACTCTGTTATATTCTGATGACGGTTAAAAGGTCGACGGGGTGGGGAGATAAAGGGATGTCATATGTTGTATCTAAAAGTGAGTAGAAGTTTATGAAGGTTTCTCTCCTTATTAAAATTTGCAATTTTTTAAAACTTATTTCTACTCCCGAAATTAGCGAAACTTCTTTTGCTTTTTGTAGTAGTATACTACGAGCAATAGATTTTTGGTTGGTTCTGAAATGTTTTAGACAGTAAGACTTATAATGTACTCAAGTAAATTACGCTGCGATTATTCTCGAACGAGAAACACTTGTTTAAGCAATTTCTACGTGAACGTCGAACAGCCGATGACAAAGATTAAGTCTGTATCGCCAGACTTCTCTAAAACTCTTATTCGTAATGGCGGCCGCTCTAGACAATCCACACTTCTACTAGATGGTTTTACTATTAAACATAAAAAAACCCACTATTTTTTACGTAGAGTGCGTACAGTACATTTAGTTTAATTTAGAATTTAGAACGTTAGAGTTAAAAATAGTCGTTATTCTCTATTGGAAAGAGCACCCTTAAAGCACAGACCTATTTGAAATGACAAAGTTCTTTTCTCCGTAAAAATGAATGTTTTAGAAACAGATAACTTTTAAACGGCATCCGCATGGCTTTAGGATACGTATGTAATTCCAGAGAAAAGGATGTATTTTAACATATACAAAATTTTCACGACATAAAAACTGACGCATTTAAGAATACAGCAGTGAGAAACCGGACTTGACAGGAAAATTTTAATTAAAAATTTTGTTCGAAAAAAATCGCTACGCATATGATTATATCCTTTCTCACAAACTTGCTATCTTGTTTGGGGGTGACACATCGAATCAAATGCAAACATAGCCATTGGATGTGAAAGACGATTTTACCAAAAAAAGACAAGAGTTAGGAGAAGGAGGACCCCAAATAAAAGAGAAGGTCCGATGACGCGACAAGGAGTTCTCCGGGAATGAGAATTCGTCTGTCCTCAAACGTTGGTCGTGTGTGTACACTCGGATACACTTCCACGCTGATGCTTTTCCAATAGCCAGTGATTAGAAGTTTAATCGCCGATAGCCGATGACCCTAAGTACTCACCAATGACCTGTCTCCACCGAAAAAAACCCAAATCAAGAAAGCGATCTTCAGGTAAATACTGCGCGCGAACATTTGTAAACTCTCTATCGCTTAAGCGTATGTATAACTAATTTATATCTATACTAATACTATAAAGATATAATGTTTGTATGTATGTATCTATGTTAGTTTGTATGCAGCAGGTAATCTCCGAAACTACACATCCGATTTAAAAAATTTTTTTACCAATATTTAGAATGGAACTTCAGGGTGGACATAGGGTGTATATTATTCCGTTTAACATGGGGGATAGACAGTTCTTTACCGTAAGCCTTACGTGGAAGGCTTACCGTTAAGAACTCTGCTTCCATTTATACTATTTTAGATGTGATTTTTTGCGTTTTTGATTGCGTTTTAAAAAAATACGTCAACAGAATGTACAGTAAGAAATAATTTTTTAAAATTTTTCTCTCGTGGGAGAGGGACAGGATTAAGACTTACTGTAAAAACTTATCTTCTATTATACAATTTTAGATGCAGGTTTTTGCGTTTTTGATTGCGTTTTAATAGAGTACGTCAACAGAATGTACACTAAGAAATAATTTTTTAAAATTTTTCTCTCGTGGCAGAGGGACAGGATTAAGACTTACTGTAAAAAACTTATCTTCTATTATACAATTTTAGATGCAGGTTTTTGCGTTTTTGATTGCGTTTTAATAGAGTACGTCAACAGAATGTACACTAAGAAATAATTTTTTAAAATTTTTCTCTCGTGGCAGAGGGACAGGATTAAGACTTACTGTAAAAAACTTATCTTCTATTATACAATTTTAGATGCAGGTTTTTGCGTTTTTGATTGCGTTTTAATAGAGTACGTCAACAGAATGTACACTAAGAAATAATTTTTTAAAATTTTTCTCTCGTGGCAGAGGGACAGGATTAAGACTTACTGTAAAAAACTTATCTTCTATTATACAATTTTAGATGCAGGTTTTTGCGTTTTTGATTGCGTTTTAATAGAGTACGTCAACAGAATGTACACTAAGAAATAATTTTTTAAAATTTTTCTCTCGTGGCAGAGGGACAGGATTAAGACTTACTGTAAAAAACTTATCTTCTATTATACAATTTTAGATGCAGGTTTTTGCGTTTTTGATTGCGTTTTAATAGAGTACGTCAACAGAATGTACACTAAGAAATAATTTTTTAAAATTTTTCTCTCGTGGCAGAGGGACAGGATTAAGACTTACTGTAAAAAACTTATCTTCTATTATACAATTTTAGATGCAGGTTTTTGCGTTTTTGATTGCGTTTTAATAGAGTACGTCAACAGAATGTACACTAAGAAATAATTTTTTAAAATTTTTCTCTCGTGGCAGAGGGACAGGATTAAGACTTACTGTAAAAAACTTATCTTCTATTATACAATTTTAGATGCAGGTTTTTGCGTTTTTGATTGCGTTTTAATAGAGTACGTCAACAGAATGTACACTAAGAAATAATTTTTTAAAATTTTTCTCTCGTGGCAGAGGGACAGGATTAAGACTTACTGTAAAAAACTTATCTTCTATTATACAATTTTAGATGCAGGTTTTTGCGTTTTTGATTGCGTTTTAATAGAGTACGTCAACAGAATGTACACTAAGAAATAATTTTTTAAAATTTTTCTCTCGTGGCAGAGGGACAGGATTAAGACTTACTGTAAAAAACTTATCTTCTATTATACAATTTTAGATGCAGGTTTTTGCGTTTTTGATTGCGTTTTAATAGAGTACGTCAACAGAATGTACACTAAGAAATAATTTTTTAAAATTTTTCTCTCGTGGCAGAGGGACAGGATTAAGACTTACTGTAAAAAACTTATCTTCTATTATACAATTTTAGATGCAGGTTTTTGCGTTTTTGATTGCGTTTTAATAGAGTACGTCAACAGAATGTACACTAAGAAATAATTTTTTAAAATTTTTCTCTCGTGGCAGAGGGACAGGATTAAGACTTACTGTAAAAAACTTATCTTCTATTATACAATTTTAGATGCAGGTTTTTGCGTTTTTGATTGCGTTTTAATAGAGTACGTCAACAGAATGTACACTAAGAAATAATTTTTTAAAATTTTTCTCTCGTGGCAGAGGGACAGGATTAAGACTTACTGTAAAAAACTTATCTTCTATTATACAATTTTAGATGCAGGTTTTTGCGTTTTTGATTGCGTTTTAATAGAGTACGTCAACAGAATGTACACTAAGAAATAATTTTTTAAAATTTTTCTCTCGTGGCAGAGGGACAGGATTAAGACTTACTGTAAAAAACTTATCTTCTATTATACAATTTTAGATGCAGGTTTTTGCGTTTTTGATTGCGTTTTAATAGAGTACGTCAACAGAATGTACACTAAGAAATAATTTTTTAAAATTTTTCTCTCGTGGCAGAGGGACAGGATTAAGACTTACTGTAAAAAACTTATCTTCTATTATACAATTTTAGATGCAGGTTTTTGCGTTTTTGATTGCGTTTTAATAGAGTACGTCAACAGAATGTACACTAAGAAATAATTTTTTAAAATTTTTCTCTCGTGGCAGAGGGACAGGATTAAGACTTACTGTAAAAAACTTATCTTCTATTATACAATTTTAGATGCAGGTTTTTGCGTTTTTGATTGCGTTTTAATAGAGTACGTCAACAGAATGTACACTAAGAAATAATTTTTTAAAATTTTTCTCTCGTGGCAGAGGGACAGGATTAAGACTTACTGTAAAAAACTTATCTTCTATTATACAATTTTAGATGCAGGTTTTTGCGTTTTTGATTGCGTTTTAATAGAGTACGTCAACAGAATGTACACTAAGAAATAATTTTTTAAAATTTTTCTCTCGTGGCAGAGGGACAGGATTAAGACTTACTGTAAAAAACTTATCTTCTATTATACAATTTTAGATGCAGGTTTTTGCGTTTTTGATTGCGTTTTAATAGAGTACGTCAACAGAATGTACACTAAGAAATAATTTTTTAAAATTTTTCTCTCGTGGCAGAGGGACAGGATTAAGACTTACTGTAAAAAACTTATCTTCTATTATACAATTTTAGATGCAGGTTTTTGCGTTTTTGATTGCGTTTTAATAGAGTACGTCAACAGAATGTACACTAAGAAATAATTTTTTAAAATTTTTCTCTCGTGGCAGAGGGACAGGATTAAGACTTACTGTAAAAAACTTATCTTCTATTATACAATTTTAGNAAGTGTTATATATTTATAATAGATATATTTTGAGCCACAACAAGGCATGGCGGGGTCTGCTAGTAATTAATAAACGGGAATTATCTTATGTAATCGAATTGTAAAGTGCACTTCTTTAGCCCAATTGGTCTTCATCCCCAGTCCAACCACCCACAGACGCAGCTGCTCGAGCGTAAATCAGAACGTAACGGACTCTGTTTCTACTCAGAAGACACAGTGGGGTCAGTCCTGACAAATTTGTCATTGCAGTCTTTGCCGATGCGATGTCGATTCTTCAGTCCCGTGGTTCCAAAGCATAGGGAGACTCTTCGGCATTGTCATACACATATGTACGTTGAGACTATCTGTAAGCAAAGCGATGTAATTAACGAAGGGTTTTTGTGGTATGTGTGGATTAATTGTATTATTTAACTTCTGAGGTCAACAGTTGCATACAAACAACAAAAGATATAAGTACTCAACGATACATTGTTTTAAAGCCTCGCACGACTTCCCTACTTAAAATGATCAAATTATAACTTGTGACAAATTCATAGGTTTCTGAAAATAATTACATAATTAATAAATTTATTAATATAATTTAAATGTACAGTACGTATTCTTATTTTCAGAATCCATACCAAAAATCAGTGAAAAGGGACGAGAAAAATAAATACGCAATTATACCAACAGGTTTTAGACCCAATCGACAGAGGTGTAGTATATATTAATACGTGATAGTAGAAACGTAAAACATTACAAAACTATTAATAAACCAATTTGGTTTTTCATAGAAAATGCACATGTTCTAAATAGGTCTAATCTAAATATATAAAATTACTTGTCCTAACTGAATGACTGAATGATAGACTGAATGACTGACTTATCATCGCTTAGAGCGAACCGCTGAACCTAAAAAGGTTAAATTTGGTACACAGTTAGGGTACGTCATGAAAACGCACACTAAGAAGGGATTTTCCGACATTTTCCCGCAGGAAATGAAAGAGAAGATTAAGGCTTAATCAGAAAAACGGCTTCTATTGTACTCTTTTAAATGCGATATTTTGTTTTTATTTCCGTTTTAGTAGGATATGCCATGGAAATGCACACAAAGAAGAGATTTTTCGAAATTCTCCCACGGGGGGAAAGACAGGTTACGTAACTTTTTATTTTCATCAGAAGTTCCTGTATAGTTAATCGGGGTTTCTCACTCTTAAGACTTTCCAATCTAGTTTCGACTTTTATCTACATAACTGCAATCTCGCGATTAAGCAGACAGCCGGACTGACAACAATAAGAATTTATAGGTCAACAATTTTTTCGAATTGCAGCCCAATTATTATCTAAACAAAGCAAATTTTTGTAAGTAAATCTAACATAATATAACATATGAGAAAGTTCGTTAAGTAAAATAATTGACAACTTATTTATAAATACTTTATGCTTTTTTCTTACATAGATAGGCCTACGTTTGTGCAATTAAAATTAAGTATGAACGAGAAGTTTCATTTCACACAGAAGTTTTTATGTGTATTGTTGCTTAAAAGTATACCATTTAATTCGAAATAAATAAACAAAAATTTTGTATAAACCTAAATATATAAAAATACTTGCCCTGACTGACTGACTGAGCTACTGATTCATCATCGCTCAGAACAAACCGCTGAACTAAAGAGGTAGAATTTGGAACACATTTAGGGTACGTCATGCAAATTCACACAAAGAAGGATTTTTCGAAATCCCCTTGTGGAGGAGAGAGAGAGCATTAAGGCAATACCGGAAAAATGGCTTCTACTCTTTTATTCTAGATGCGATTTTTCGTTTTCAATTACGTTTAGTCTTCATTGAGTACTTAGGTGTATTAAATTGTGAACATTTCAGATATTATTATAAATATTTTCATATATTTCGATTTTTTATCCAAATGTTCGAACCGTTTTAAATTCAAATTTCTTATTGCGTATCGGTTCGATTATAGAACGATTTGTAAACGTTCCGGAAAATTGATCAAATTGAAAATAGTTCGTTTGATTCTCGGAAATTCTCAAATTCTGAATATTCTCAGCTGCAGGTGTTATATAACAATTACTATAGTTGTTGAAACACTGAATATAAATGGGGTTCGCTCGGAAAATCCTCGCGGGCAAATCCGCGGGTAACAGCTAGTTGATGTATAGACTATAGAAAAAAGTGATTACGTAAGTAAAGATTTCGCTTTAAAATATTTTGATAAATGGTTTTGTTTTCACGTACTTATTACTATTATTTATTAATTCCCGTAAATTTATAATAATGTATAAATAATATTATTTTATATGCCTGAATCGTTATTTTTTCTTTGCAGTTTGCATTCGCAATGAATATGAGTTGTGAAGAGGAATACTTCTATAATTTCAAACAAAAGTCGGAAATTTTTTATAAGGTTCTGAAATTTAGGTAAAATTTTTTATAAAAAAAACCTTAGGCCTCATCTCTTATTAAATTTATCAATAATAATTAAATAGCGAGGTTGAGGTCGAAATTTTAAACGCGAAAACGTGTATATCGGACGTTCAGCGCCGCTTTTCTGTAAACCTAAAAGTTTGACAATAGTGTTTGGATAGTCAGTAGAATCATGTTCGACATTCCTAAAACAATTGTCAGACTTCTAGGCTTACAGGAAGACAGCGCTGAACGTCCGACGTACACGTTTTCGCGATGTAAACGTCGGCCGCAGCCTCTCTAATAATACCAGTAGATTATTAAAAAAATAAATGACAGAATTTACAAAAAACAGATTTAATATAAAAAATAAAAACGATGATAATATATGTACGTCATTCCCTTATATTAAAAGTATGTGCGAAAAATATAGAAATATTCGGTGTAATGTTCGTTTAAAACTTCGGCCTCAACCTCGCTAATATAATACGAGATAACTCCTAATGCCTTTCTCTAGAAACAAATTATTTAGTAATTAAATCTAAAATTGCGAAGCGTTTTTTTCATTGTACAATTCTTCGTTATATTAATCACGAAACACAGTTTTATTTTTTATTTTTGTTATTACAGTAAAATATCGATTTAACACACCTCTATTTGGCAAACAATGGATTTAACGGACAGAATGTCCGTATGTAATACCTGAAAATTAAATTAATTAACACCCCATTTAACTTTAAATGGGGTTTTAATTACTTTAATTTTCAGGTATGACATACGAACTGTAATTAAATTAACGGGCTATACGAACTGTAATTAAATTAACGAGTTGTTTTTATTTTCTCACATCTAAGAGTCACCACTGTTAGCTTTACGTCAGAACACCAGTGTTTGTATATACCGTGATCCGAAGACACATAAATAAAAAAATTTTCGTGTTTTTGTAAAATTTAAATTTTTGTAAGGACATTATGCATTCGAATGGTTTAATACAATTAATGCGTATCACTCAAACGATATTTTTTTAATTAAAAAAACAAATTTTTAAAATAACTTTTTAAAAAGTTAAAACACTTCAAAGGTTAAAACAGAATATAGCCGTTGTTTTTTAAAGTATAACTGTATTTTATCAGAGATAAAACTACTAACGTTTACGTTTGAATGCATTTCGGGTGCAAATTTTGTTTTACTCGCACCCCTCTTCAGGTAATACATAACTAAATTAGAGAAAATATACAGACGTTACAAAAATATTGCAAGAATTACAACATTGAAATGATTTACATCAGGGGTGTCCAACCTTTTTGTTCCTCTGGGCCACATTGGAAGAAGCCAGGAAGTTTATACAGTGGTGCCTCGTATTACGTACTTAATCCGTTCTAGGTGCACGTCCGTTAAGTGAAAAGTCCATTATACGAAACGCATTTTCTCATAGAAATACATGTTAAAACATATAATTTGTTCCGCAGCATAAAATAACCATACCGTACCATTAAAAAATGAAAATGTAGCAGTCACCAATTATGCCGGGTATTCAGATGTGAGGAGGAGGTGGAGGAACACCTTCTTCACACATTCATACTGATACAGACTTTTTACACTTTGCAGCAAATCTTTTTTTATTGCTTTTTAATCGAGGTCAGATTCAGGAGAGGCTACCGGAGCTTGCGGGGTCAACTCCTCTTGTTCCGTTCTTTATTTTTTGTCTGCTGGCTTTTTGAAAAACATGTCCAAGGTGATCTGTTTCTCTCTCTTCTTCAACACCTATCAGAAATGACGGGCAAGGGTGTCATTGTAGAGATCATTGATCCTGTTGGCCTCAGCTCTGTTTGGATAATGAGTGTTAGTAAACTCCTGAATCTCTCCCCATTCGACAAGGAAGTTTTTGTCAACTTTAACTCCTGATGATTTCTTGGTTTATTTCAATTGAAATCACCTTCCTGTTTTTTAGGAGCCATGATTTGCACAACACTTGAATAAATGTAAATACCCTGCACTGAGGTGATGTACGTAATAAACAAAGGAGCAAGCCGAATCCCAACGGGAGCTCTGTACTTCATATATACTAATAATATATTCTAATAATGCTAATATATTATAAAAATAGCAGATTGTCATTGGCAACGGCAAAAGAGTAAAAACGTCATTCGCACTTGTTCGCAGAAAGTTTGTTCTTCGAATCACGTAACGGCCTAACAGAAAGTCCATTGTTCGCAGCGTCCATTATTCGAGGCATACGTTATACGAGACACCACTGTATAATATATTTGTAACCCAATCCTTAAATATACTTGTATATTTAAGGATTAACATGTCTAGATTATAGTAATAAGTATTAAAACTTTATCACAAAAAAGAATATTTTAAAAAATTACTTCTATCAGACCCTTTCAATTTTTACTTACAAATAAATAAATTCATTTATTATAAAGAAGAGAAACAAGAATTTATTTGAAAAACACAAATATTTGTTTTATTCGAGTCTCTAATTAATAAAAAACGACGAAACACCAATTTAAAGTGCATTTTTATTCGACAAATATATTTATAAATAATATGTAGCCCATAAAGTAGCCAATGCGCCAAATGATAATTTTTACGCCAAACTAAAAAAGGGCAGCCAAATTTGGCGCAAAGTAGCCAAATTTTGCAATGCTGAAAAGAATACTAAATAACGCTGAAGTTGCAACTAAAATGATTATAGACCCAAATTTGAGAAAAGGAGAGAAAGACCAAAAAATAAAAACTAGTGAGGAAGGTTGGAAAATTAAGGGTCAATATTGGCATAACAGAAGGTCTACTTAACCATTCTCACTACTTTTTTATCTTTTGTCATTTCTCTCCTTTTTTCAAATTTGGGTCTATAATTATTTGAGTCACAAATTCAGCATTATTTAGTATTCCGTCATTCACTCATCTCCAAACATTTGAAAATATTTCCTTTTCACTCAAAAATAAAATATGTATAAAAGTTTACGGCTTTGTGAAACTTCTTTTTTGAGTTTATGCTGTTTAAATAAAAAAATAAAACAATTTGTCGGTTTTGTTTACACGTTTATTGGGCCGCACTGGAACTTGCCTTGGGCCGCGGGTTGGACATCCCTGATTTACACTACTGTATACCGAACTGACCTTGTTCGCTAAAAAATACAGCGCCCAACTTTATCGATATCCTACCCACGAGGCATCGTTTTAATAGCCTTTTGTCCGTTTTCGCGCTATTTTGCTTTTACCACATTCGCCCACACGTCATCTATCTCCATCCCATTATTTAGATTAATGGTGCTATGTGCACTTACGATCGCGAAATATTCCTTGAACGTTCGTAAACACTTATCTTTTCCTTTGTGAATTATTTCTACATTATTACTATTAATTACACATTCGTATTTATTGCAATGAGTTGTCCATGGGGATTGGTTATTTTCATGCTCTTTTACTCTAGTTTTGAGTTGCCTTCCTGTTTCACCTATGTAAGTTGCTGGTTTATTACATGTACCTTTTAGCTCATATACATCTATTTCGTCTAGTTTTTTTTATTTTTAGATTTATTAATATTAATATTATTTTTTAGTTTGGCTGCTAGTACTACACTATATTTTTTGAAAACATTTCTATATTTTTCGTATGTACTTTTAATATAAGGAAATGACGCATGTATATTATTACGATGTCATCCACATATTTAGCTATAAATATTATTTCACTTAAATTTGCTAATTTTTTAATTTATTTCAATAATGGATATTTCTGCAAGTTTTGGGTCAATTATTGTGCCCATGCTAATACTATTTTTTTTGTCTATATATTTTTCATCGATATTAAAGTAATTATTCACAAACTATTTTCTTAACTCTAGTTATGTATGTCTAGATAAGTGTTTCTCAACGGGGGCGATATCGCCCCCATGTGGGCGTTTATCCATGTTGAGGGGGCGATTAGTAACAATTTATATTTTTGGGGGGCAAAAAACAATTTTCTGAAACAATTTATTAAGAATAATTAGATATTTTATTCGTTATATCGCACAATAATTAAACAAATAACATTACACTAGTCACTAGTCTATTCAATGCAGTACGAATTTGGCGTTAGCCTTGGTCCTCGGCATCGGAATTTTGAAGTGAAGGGACCGATACTACGTAACGGTTTTATTGAAGGGGCGATATTACGTTGAAGGGGCGACGATTCGTTAGAGGTTGAGAAACACTGGTCTAGATTAAGTAGATTTTTTTAAAATAAGTTTCCACTTTACCGATGGGTACGTAGATACTATGTTCAAGCTTAATAACCTGTACTGTACGTTGACTTCATCTTTATTTGCATTTTTCTTAATAACTCACCAGTGTTTTTTATTAAATAATTTAAANTAGATTTGGAGACAAGTAAATTCGACTTACGTCGTTTTTCGACTTAAGTCGTTCTCCTGGAACCAATTACCAACGTAAGGCGAGGTATACCTGTATAAATATATTTATTAATCCATTTTGTTGTTTTTCTCTATCTTCTGCTTTAGATGTTCTGTTCTTTATCTTAGACTAGCAGACCTTGCCACGCGTTGTTGTGCCTCAAAATGTATCTATTATAAATTTATAACACTTCCCCCGTAAGGGGGGAGAATTTTTCAGAAAATATCATTTTAGTGTACATTCTCTTGACATACCTTATTAAAATGCAATCAAAAACGCAAAGCCCCGCATTTAAAATAGTATAATAGAAGCAAAGTTCTTCACGGTAAGTCTTAATCTATATTTTGGACCCCGCCCCTCATCACCCGGCAGCCCCATTGTGGGCCTGGCCGAACCCATAATGGACCTGCAAAAAGAGGCCCTCTTAGTGCCCACAGGGCTGAAAGAATTAAAAAAAAGCCTTAATCCTTTCTTTCTTCCCTGTGGGGGGAATATCGAAAAATTTCTTGTTTGTGTACATTTTGTTGACGTACCCAATTAAAACGCAATCAAAAACGCAAAAACTCGCATCTAAAATAGTATAAATAGAAGCAGAGTGCTTTACCATAAGCCTTAATTTTATCCATCTCCCTTCAGTGGAGTTGAATTTGGACGTGTATATTATATATTGATAAAAACACGTGCGTATTCGAATGCAGCGTTGTATCAAAATTTCAAACAAATCGGTAGGAACGAACGAACATTACATTTTTATTTATATAGATAGAAGATGATTCGCTTTAGTTCATTTTCACAGAAAAGCAAACTTAGGGCGTCGTACTTGTAGCGCCATCTGTCAGACATAAAAGCCTTTACCCTAGATGATATCTTTTAATTTATATGAATGTTTAACGGAATAATATACAGCCTATGTCCACCTTGAAGTTCCATTCTAAATGTTGGGTGAAAGAATTTTTGAAATTGGATGAGTAGTTTCAGAGATTACCTGCTGCATACAAACTTACACACAAACATTACCTCTTTATAAAATTAGTATAGATAATGCTGTTAATTTTAATTACACAAATGTATCTATGTAAGAGAAAAGGATAAAGTAAATAAGTTGTCAATTATTTTACTTAAGTTAACGAACTTTCTTATATGTTATGTTAGATTTACTTACAAAAATTTGCTTTGTTTAAATAATAATTGGGCTGCAATTTGAAAAAATTGTTGACCTATAAATTTCCATTGTCGTCAGACTGTCTATCCGCTTAATTGTGGGATTGGAGTTATGTAGATAAAAGTCGAAACTAGATTGGGAAGTCTTAGGACTGGGAAACCCAGATTAACTATACAGGACTTCTGATGAAAACTGAAAGTTACGTTATTTTTATTCAGAATGTTTCTCTGGAAAGGTGCTAGATGAATGACCGGCACGACTTCATTGTTATCAGAAAAGTATGACTTACAGGGGCAATTCACTACTAATTTGAGGTGGAAATCATATATTTTAAATTAAATTAAAAATTGCAGTTTGGGATTGTGACGATGTTACAATAAGTAATTGCTCATTGTCGCTTAAAATCTTCTTACAAGTATTAATATTAAGTGTAGTTTCCGTGTTAAGGTATTACAACTAAACTTTCAGTCCACAGGTGTTAGATAATTTTAAAATTATATTCCAAAATATAAAATTTATAGAGAAAAACTTTCACTGTAATTTAATTTTGTGGATTTTATTCGATTAATTTAATTGGTGTTTTTACTGAAATTTAATTATTGATTACAAATTGTTTAATTCTATGTTTTCGTTAATAATTCGTAAAAAAACAGATTTTATACTGGAATTATTTTTTTACCAGATGTGAAATGCCAACATTTCCAGTTCCTCTTGCATTTTTAAAATCACGTATTAAAGGAGGTAAACAATTTCAGATTTTCCAAGTGAAGGCAAAGGTATTTTCTTTATTTTTTCATTTAACAGATATGTTTTTAGTTTCTTTTACATAAACTTTATCAGACGGCATTCAAACAACAGGAGAATAAAAACTATTTTAAATCCTTTCTTTCTCTCTGTCTACACGAAACCTCTTACATACGACTGTAATGGGAAGCCCCAATCCCGAGATATCTCGGGAAAGTTACATAGCGTTACATAAAACGCGGTCCTTAGTTTTAATTTTTGGAATGTTTTTTAGGTCCCCAAATTTTTTCAAAATTTTTTGCCCGCGCGAAAAAATTTTATCGCGATTTTAATGAGCCTTTGATAAGGCTCGATTAAGGCTTAATTGTTTTTTAATGGGCGTTTTTTATCAATTTTTTTATGGTTCCTAAGTTGTAATGCACGGATTTTCCTTTGGTAAAGTTATTTAAAGCAGCTTTCTGATGTCAAAAACGACTTCCAATAGTTTTTAAATATTTTAAATTAATATAATTAACTTTATATAAATTTAATTAATTAGAGTGAGTCGAAAATCGCAATAATACTTTTAATTTTTTAAAAATATTTAAAAATATACAGCAAAATTGTAGTCACCCTACTTTAAACCCTTGTCCTCCCCAGACGTCTATGAGAATGTCCTGGGAAATCCCACTCCAGCTGTGTTCAAGGTCATCCAGCTGGGTAAACAATGACTCATAGGTGTAAAATTTCGCAGATAGGCGAGACAAAGGAAAACAAAATTTGAAGCTTTTTCTTCAAAATTAACGCATTTTTTGTTTTTTTTTCAGTTTTAAGTATTTTTTACGTTTAATTAAAATAATATCAAAAATTGCTCGAGGCTTAAGGAGTTAAGAACATAGTTTTCAGGATGAGCCACGATATATTTTGCTCAAACCATATATAAAAACTATTTGAGTTTCAATTTACGTCAGATTTTCGTGAAGTAACCTTTACGCCTTGAACTGTCACATGTTTAGCAAAGTTTGTTTACGTCTGTCATCGTTATTAAGTCTAGTATGACCTTTAAATGAAGTTTATACACATTATAAACAAGTAAGTGTATATTGTAATATAGCATAGGCTATAAAATTTACGTTTGATTTGAATTTCACTGACGTTGTGGTAACGATTCATTTTCATTTGAAAATCATAAATATAGAGATTTAGACTAACAAAAGATTCTACAATTAATGTTTATAGAAAAATTTCTTTATTAGAAGGAAAATGTATCTTAATTAAAGGTTGGGTTAGGTTCTTAAGGTGTATAGAACTGTAATCGTATATCGCCGTTTAATATATAAGAGAGAAATGGACATCGGTCACGTCCTGCTCGTCCGACTGACCCGAAAAAAAGACATTCTCGAATCGCGCACTCACACGTAGGTGTAACCTGATCGGTTCCAGATTGAATTCCGGTCGTTAGGTTTTCACACGTGAAAAAAACCTGACCCAATAGATTGACTAGGTTCATGTTAAAATTTTACTTATTAATCGTACAATAAATATATTTAAATCAGTTTATGATCTCATACATATAGAAATATATATGCAAATTAAATTTAAATGTTACGATAGCATTTTTTTAAATATGTCAATGATACTTACAAACAATTAGTTAATTACATATATTCTGTCATTGCTATGCAAATATTTCTGGAAAATTCTGTTGATTTGAATTTAGTTCAGGAAAAATAGTTTTAATTTAATTTAGTAGTAGAAGTAGTTTGAGTAGCACTAATCAAAAAATTAATTTCAGATGTCGATTAAATAAGAATTGCAAATAAAATTTGTTGAATGGAATTATTTCAAAGCTAAAAATTAATTTTTTGAGTAAATTACTATCGAATAAATTAAAATTACAATAATTGTATGAAATAATATAATACCAAAACGAATTTTTTTATTTTTATCATCAATACTAGAATTAATTATTTTCTTAATGGATATTTGTCTTAATATTCTGGTACATGACAGTTTGAAATAATATAACACTAAATTTATTTTGAGTAGATTTTTATTTTTGCGTTACAGTTTATTTAAGTCAGGGGTGTCCAACCTTTTTGTTTCTCTGGGCCGCATTGGAAGAAGTCAAGGAGTTTTGGGCCACAAGTATATATAATATATACTTGTGGCCCAATATACAAGTATATTTAAGGATTAACATGTCTAGATTATAATAATAAGTATTAAAACTTTATCAC